CTACCAAATTTCGTTAACATTCACTTACTAATTTAAAAGTTATAGCATGAAAAATATAACAAGCACAAAATGGTTACAAGGTCAGTCCCAGGGACCATACCCAAGTTGAAAGAGTTAACATGGCTCTTTCTAGATTTATTATTACTATCTCTTAGTTGAAGTTAATGTAACCGTTTCCATATTTAATGTTGGTATCTATCGTTTGGCTAGAAATAATGGGACAGTTATTCCTAAATTTATTACTGTTATCTCTCGCCTTAAGTTAATATAACTTTTTATACATTTAATGTTTCTACCTATTCCTTGTTAATATTTAATGTGATGGCTGTTTCTAAATTTATTGTTGCTATCTTTTACCCAAAGTTTATGTAACTGTTTGTATATTTAAACCTAAGTTTGTTCAGAATAGATATTGTAATTTTCTGTAATTAAGGTATGAAAGAAACATTGCTTTACAAACCTTAAGACTAAATAAAAAAATTAGATATTTTGCGTATGCAAGCATTGTAATGTTTACTGATAAACTGCCATATTATGTTAACATTCGCTTACTAATTTTAAATGTTATAGCATGAAAACTATAACAAGCACAAAATGGTTACGAGGTTGGTCCCACAGACCGAGCCCAGGTTGAAAAATTAATGGTTCCTGTTGTGTGGACTTACTACTTATCTGTCAGTTTCTATTTTATCAATAGAACTCAGTTGCTCAGCATCAAAATACATTCCTTTGAATCAGTTCTCTTGTTTGTAGATACATCTTTAGACTGTTTTCTTTTTTTTCTATGTAACAATATATGTTCTATGTTCAAAGTTACCTTATAGATTTGGTTCTTTTCTGATGCAATAATATCAGCCAATTGTAAAGCTTCCTTGTACTGCTTGGTTTCATGAAGAATGGTGTGGAGAAGGAAGGACATCTGTGGGATGCAAAGTTTTCGTAAAAGTGACATCTGGTTTAGTCGGCCAGTTTCTTCAGGTTCATCCTATGATAAAAAAGTAGGTCAAACTATCTGCACTGTGAATAACTAGCAAGCACTTGTAAATGTTATGTTATTACTCTATCACAAAACTACTTTTGCTTATAAGTCAAATAATTAATTTTGCTTAATTTTCTTTTACAAATTATGTACAAAGATGTGAACAATACTACAATATATACTTTGCATGATTTGTGTAGAACTGAAACTACTAAGACAGCAAAACTGTAGCTATACTATCCAAAACCAACTTTTATGTCAACAATAAAATATAGAATACAAAACGTTTTGTAGGTCAGACTATCATGTTTTAATCTACTGTAATTTTATCCTGAATTTTTAGGCCTAATATCTACAACCATTAAAGCAACATTTTTTTTTTTTTACAAGTATCACAATCATAAAACAAAACTGTAGAGCTACAGTTACTTGGTCTAGAAATTTAATACTTTACGGAGCAAGGACAGCAGAATCAAACAGAATTATTTATATTCAAAAAAAGCAGTAGTCATTTAACCCTATGTAAACAGTGCCGGTGCTTTGCATGAAAAAAAAGTTTTTTTAATAAAGTATTTTTACTAAAGATTTACCTGTGAATTTACTGAGTCAGTCTGAGTGCAAGGTGATTTTCATGTTAAGAACAGAAATACTTTTTCCATTTTATAGTTTTCATATTTCATTGCACAATATCTAGAAACTTAAATGAATATCAAGTTTTTTCAGTAAAACTTTACATTTTGCTTGTTATTTCCTTCACTCTAGCTGTGAAAATCAAACATTGAAAAAAATATTAAACAAATCCACATTACCTTTTTTGCTATCTAGAATGACTGCATATTGCAACAGACAATTACACACTATTAATTTTTACAGCAAAAACTAACAGACTTTTCAAAGTTGAGGTTTATTTAGTTTTATTGCTTTGAAGCTACACTTAAATCCTCTCAGAGTATGCCAAGTCATTTATTACAGCTGGACAGTCTTGTGTAAACAAATGATCTAGTTCAAGCAAATCAAGGATGAATCACAAACATGCTTCACACACATAGCATGCTATGATACTAACTATCATGAGAAATGTTTTAATTTACTTTTTGTCATTTAAGTTTTCTTACCTAACTTAATAAGTTTCTGATTTTCACATTTTAGCTACTTTTATAACAATAAATAACAAATAAAAACAAGAATTTTAGTACTTCAATTCATGCCTTTTGGTGGTCCAAAATATTTTAAATGATTATTTGAAATATGAAACACAAAGCATAAAATGTCCTAAAACTACTATAATCTAACTGGCTAATTAAAGTAAAAATAGGTTAAAAAAATCCTGTTTGTTGCTCGAAGCTCAACAATAACAATAAAAAAATTCACGTGAATGGTATACAAATGGTGCCAAAAAAACAACAGATATTAGCAGATTCTTGTAGAGGACAAAATTGTCTTTCTATTGGTTATAAACATGGCTATAAAAATGGCAAGTGGTGTAGATAACTTTGTTCAAAGGTATGACAAGATGGGAGGAGACTCAATGGTGGGCATCACAAATGTATAACTTACCAGCTGAAGAAGGTGGGATGTCTATATTTTATATTCTGAACAATCATTCTCTATACATTGAGTTACTGATTGGTTGGCTTCTCTGAAAGCCTTAGAAGAGAATGGAAAAACTTAAAAAAAAGAGAGAGAATCAAAGTGGTAAGGTGCATCACGTGACACACTGAAGTGAAGATTAAGAATTTATTTAAATATTTCCTTTTGAAATATAGACAATATAAAACTTTGAATTATAAACTACATTTCTATGCCAAATTTATTGACATATATTTATAATAAAGTTAATTCAATTTTGAATGAAACTCTAAAAAGACTGTGATGTGCATTTGGATACCCACTCTACACATATGGTTAAAGATGCCTAAATCCTTACATATATAACAAACTATATCAACTTTTATTTAATCTATGGTATTACTATGTCAGTTGCATAGAAAGAAAAAAAATTTTACAGGTTGCAGCTTTGAAAAGTTTTTATCTCACCTTCTCTGGTTCAGCAGTTTTTTGGTCAACCATCCAGCCACCATCCACAAACAGCAAGACATTATAAATTCTGTTAACTGTATCCTGAAAAAAAAAAAAAGATGGCAAAAACTTATCAGTGTAGGTAAGCATAAACAAAACCAATTGAATATTTATGAAATATAGCAGACTGTAGATATGTTTAGGGTGTTAGTAAATGTCTTTTCATTATGTAGTAATTTCAGTATCAAAACAGTGTCACAGTTTATATAAGAATGGAGACTGAATATTTTTACTCACAACTTAGAAGTATGCCTGGTATGGTATCCCTGATTTTTATACAGTTAATGAACAACACTACTCTGAGTCTTTTGTAAGTTAATATAAACCCAGATAATGAGTATTGGTGCAGAAGAAAAAAACATTAAGTGAGTTTCCAAACAAAGAGTGGTGGTCTGGATAATTCTACTTGAGTAATGCTGAAAAATAAGTTGTAACACAAAATGATGAACGAAATATACTTTATGCAACAATAAAAGTAAGCTCAAATACCACATGATGACAAAAACATCTATTATGAAAGAAGAAAAATCAATGGCACAACTGTAAAATGAGTAAGTAGCATACTTTTTAAGTAAATTCCATTTTATAGATTAATGACTCCAATACCAATCAGTGACCATATTAACCCTATCTAGACAGGTAGGGGTCAGAGGGCATGTCATTACATTTGTAGATTTACATTCAGCATTTTATTTAGCTATTATTTTATAAACATATGTCAATAAGTTTGGTATCAAATTGTAGATTATAATTCAAGTTTTAGTATTATACATTAGATAGTTTCTTAATTTGAAACTAAATATTTAACAAAAATGCTAAATATCGATTTTTTTGTGTGTCACGTGGTATGTGGCCTTCTGGGTTTGGTCAGATTACATTTTATGATGCCTAGAATACAAAGTCTGTAGTTTTGTATGAATCAGAAACTCAAATGTTCGATATTGGCAAGCTAGAATAAAAAATAAGAACCTCCTACCTTTTCTATTTGCTGAGATATCATGATATTTAACAAACCCACTATAATGGCTCTGCCTACCACTTCATCATTTGACAAGGCTTATTTACCTACGCCTACTTTTATATACCACTAACTTTATAATCAATCGAAAGCTATATATTTATTCTACATAATTTTGTCAGTCTTCTTAAGTTATTTATGAGAGAAATTCTCTTATATCATTGGAAAGTTTGAAGTATTGCTATCAAGACTATTTTGTGAATAGAGATTATATATTTTTAGACCCAAATACAATTTAATTAAGAAGCCTGATAAATTACAGTGGATTTTTGGGGTATTGGTATAGTAATTTATAATTGTTTTGTACTCCAAAATGCTTATATGAAGTATACAAAAATTATTATTTTTCCATCTCCACATGTAAATTTGGACTAGGCTTAGCAAATATGGCTCACAAGTGCAAACAAAGACTTCGTACCATTGTAAGCAGTAGAGATCATTGTTTTTCAAATATTTTATATTTACTGTTTTATGTTTGAAGAAAAATAACTAACATTTAAGTATTTATTTGAAAACATTAGTTATATACACACACACGCATATGTAACGTATGGTAGCCAATATGTATTTTACAAAGTAAGAACATGTGTTATTTTTCTACTTGTTTACACTGAAGTAGAATAAAAACAATATATACAAAACTAAAGACTTGGCAATTCAGGAAAAGTTTATTTATGTAATGATTATTATAAAAGTAACTAAAATCATAAAAATAGGAAGTTGTTCGGTAAGATAATGAAAGAAAAATAATAAAAACCTCCATGGAGTATGCGTGCCAGAAGCTTCTGCATTGCACTGTTCAATAGGGTTATGTCAATGCACGTGCACCATGTAATTTTCAACTTCTGTCAGGGTATTTTAAGTTCAAAGGTCAATAAAACAAAAATTAATAAATATAAATAGATTTATACTGTTAAGAGATTTAAGATGTTTAGAATAAACATTTGTGGTTTCCTATTACAATTTGCAGTTATTCTAGAACAATAAAGATAATTTAGATTTATTTCCTAATTTTTATGATGGTTACGAGGTCAGTAAAACCAATGAACACCATATAGAGTTCATATTGATAAAATAACAGATTAAATATAAAGTTTTATTATAAAAAAAGTTTTATATGATTATCTAGAAGAATATAGAGATTATGCAAATTAAACTTGACACATTTAATTAAAGAAAAGTATTTTTAATCTTAAAATCAAAATTACTTTGTACATTGGATAGTCAACATTCTGAAAGAAAAAATTCATGAGCAAATCTTTAATAAAAAAATCTTAAAACAGAACTCAAAAACCTGATACTTTGTGTATGAAATCCTTGTAATGTTTACTAATAATCTGCAAAACTTTGTAAAGACTTTTATACACTTTTCAAAAATTATAGTACAATTACTCTCATAGATACTTTCCTGGTTAAGAGTGGGTGGATTCCACCCGACCCATAATGGAAAAGTTAATAAGCGTGCTGCTCAATTTTTTTTTAAATTGGTTTAACTGAAATTTTCTTTGACATTTTATCTTTTAACCTTATCTGCCCGGTCATCGTTTTCTGTGCATGTTATGAGGTCTTAGTGATTTAAATTCAAAATTTTATTAAACTACTTTTTATTTATGTTATATCAACTAGAATAGCATAAAATCTTATCTAATAATTCATACTTTAATAGTATACAAGTTATGAGTTCTTAATTTTATAAGACAATATTTAAAAGAATCCTGAATTTCCCCTAGCATGAGACATTTTCTGTAGGTGTGTTCTTTTCTCTATTTTATTCACCACCCCTCCAATAAGTACAAAACTGAGATAAATTACTCAGCATAAAATCGTCATTGCTCAGACAAACCATAATTTTTATATCCTTCAATTTTGTTTGGTTACAGAGCTATCAAATACAAAATCAGATCCCTCTTGCCAAATCCTCTCTTTCACAATTTGTTAATAGCTCTCTCTTACGTTTAATTCTATATTATCTATAACCAATAGAAAGCCAAGGTTTTCATCTATCAAATGACCTATTACATTGTTTTCTGAACAGAGAATTGACAATTTCTCTCTTAGTACAAACATTGTTTCCACAAGAAAGATAACGACTAACTTGGATGAATTTGTAACGGCTCTTGTCGCATAGATATAAAGCCAGAAAAATTGAGGTAGTTAGAGAAAATTGTCTGCTTTTTGCATGTTCTTATTCTATGTTCTTTGGTACATTATTCAATTAAACAAAAATTTAGTGCATTACTACCATTAGCATAAAAAAAGTATGGTTAGGTGCCATTGGCAGTCAACTGCAAAAAAAAAAGAAATACTCGAGTAAGTACTTTATTTCTTGTTTTTTTCTTGTTTATTCTTTATTTATTATTATAAAAACTACTAAAATGTAAAAATTGGGATCTCTTTACATTATTTAAAGTTAGATTAGGTAAAATAATTAATAATAATATAATAAAATGTTTCATGAGGCACTCATGTGAGCAGCTCGTGGGTAACGTAATTCGATAGTGTAACGAGAGCTCCACATTCTCCAAATGATTTACAACTTATAATGGTGTGAACAGTAGTGAGACACAGTTCAAAGGGGAATAAAACAATAAAATTTCATTTTAAATAGATGTACACTGTAATGAGTTAGGATAAATGAATGTAGTTTAATGTTACATTTGAAGTCATTATAGAAATAAAGGAGGGTAATTTAGATTTATTTCAATTTCTTTTTGGTAGTTATGAAGTCGGTCAAATTGACCAACCTTGTATAGAGTTAGGGTAGAGAAAATAACAAATAAAACAGTTTTACTGAAAACAAACATTTGAAATGTATTTAGGAGTCTAGAGTTTACACAAATGCAATTTGAGATTTTTGAGATGAAAAAAGTATTTTTAATCTTAACATGAAAATCACTTTGCACACAGACTATTGAAAACAAATACTTGATATATTCAAGGACAAATCTTTTTATAGTTTATTAAAAATACTTCACTAAAAATAATGATTTTTTGCATGTGAAGGACTCATAATGTTTACTGAAAGACTGCTAAATTTCGTGAAGATATACACACTATATTAAAGTTAGTAGTATCAAATTTGTAAAGACTAAACAAGTACAGAGAGGTCAGGTGGTCAGTCAAATCGACTGAGCCCATATTTAGAGAGTTAACGTATATCACAAGTAGCTTTTATATATTTTTTATTATGCTCTTTGTCATGTATTAGTTACTATTTACATTTTATTTTATTTAGACCACATAATATATATATTGAAGCATAAATGAACCTATAAAAACACTCAAAACTCCTATCATTAAAAAAATTTAATCATTTAATACTCTATATAGTAGTGCTGTACAGAATAAAGTTATTTTCTACTTAACTACAACTGAGACCAATCTGTTATTACAGTTCTACTTAAATTACTTTTGCAAAGTTTAATTGCTGGTACTGATATGGTTCCAACAACTTCAGCAGAATGAAGCTTCCTAACTTTTCCCAGACTCCTTCCTGACCAAAGTTTGTTATTCTCTGACCATTTTATCTATGCTTGAACTAGACAGGATGTATGTTAACAATTTCCTTAAATATCAACTTGCAAAGTTTTGGCTACATTGATTACACTGTTTTTGAATTATGATATGAGAAAATATACAACAAAGGTTGTTTATCTATTTGTTTGTTGTAGCACACACTGATCACCATAGAAGCTATGGTAACTGTCACAGACACAAATTTTACTGTACTCAAACATGTTTGTCACTGACAGTGATATTAGATAAGAGTATTGTAACACTCAAGTGTCAAGTTTTTCATTTTGTTGCTTATTACACTAAATAAAAACTAGTACTAAGTAAAACTTTCCCTAAAAGTATTCACATTATTTTTATTTTGGTATGGTATTTAAGGACTAGACAAGATACATATGACTCCTCTTTTGTCATTATTACCCCCATCCAATTAAAACTTTTTTGTGGTGCACAGCAATAGGTGAAATCAACTGGTTTCAAACTTTTGGTATTTTTAAACCATGAAACTTATCCCACTAATTCAAACACTTTAACCATAAAGATACATATACAAAAATAAAGTTACAGTACATAATAATAATAATATGCATACACATAAAAACTCACAGATGAAATACAGCACACACACACACTTCAAATAAACTTCATAATTATAGTAATAAATAACCACATATTTTTTCAAAGTAAATACATTTTGAACTGAATTAAACATAAAGTGGACTATTAACATTTGATTTTTACAATTTTTAATTCCATAACTTCTAGATCCAATTTTTACTAACCTTAGTCTGTGCCATGAGTGCTTGTTCCCATCTTTCCAGGTCTGCTTCATACTGCTTTTGTTGATGTTCATAAGCCACCCATTCTGTAAACTTAATATCAGACTTCTCTGGTTGTTTAGGTTCCTTTGGACGACCATGATGATAGTGTTCAAACCAGTCATTAAAAGCATCATGAGCTTGCTGAAGGTGATAACAAATGTCACTTAGGTTTAAACAAGAATTAATAAAACAATACAACACAATAATGATGTAAGTATTACTCTTTACCTCAAAAATGTGTACTAGTTAAGGTTTTGTAGATTATAACCATATTGAATTAAGATTTTTATTTTATCATATTATTATAAATACAAAAAAAAGAACATTTTAATGGAAAGTAGAGATTTTTGCTGCAATAAAAAGTACACAAACATCACTTTCAATTATTTTTGACCCATAAATTATTAAGTCATTTTATATGTCGATAAAATTCAATTAAAAATAATAATTATAACTGTTTATAAAATTTTAACTAAAATATTTTAAACTGATATTTTATCATTTTGTAACATTTACTTAGTGTAATTCACGAGGGAAAATAAAACAATTGTGATCAGTATAGGCAAATAAAGCAGTCCAAATTTGCCAACCAAAGTAGGAATTGAAAATCGTTTTAAAATCTATCCAACTAGTATCACTTTACTTATTTGTGTGCTTTTTATTTTAAAATTTTAACTTCATATCTCCTATTTATTATTCAGTTTTTATATGTCCATGAAATGGACACAAAATCAATAAACTTTTATTATAGCAACATCCCTGATAGCTACGACTTTTACATGAATTAAAACCACAATCACAAATTTATAAAATGTAATCCTTACTTTGGCCTACATATAAGTGTATAAAGCTACTAAAGTAGGGATTAAATTTCATAAATTTGTGATTGTGATTTTAATTCCTGTTTCACTTCTTTTTGTAGCAGAATCCCTACTTCATTTTAAAATTCATAATTTTTTAATACTCTTGTTTGTTTACTTTTACCTTTAGAAACTGTGATGTGTCTATCAATATGTGGCACCATCTGTTGAGTTGAATTGGAGTTAAAAAATATTTAAGTACATGCATACGTTTCCCATTTGTAAAAAATCTGCATATATTTTTTTATTTATCAGAATATCAAAGTGGATACCCACAGACTAGTCAAGTAAGTTGGAGAAATCTGCCAAAGACGTTTAAGGACTAGTGCCACTGATGCGATCAGGTTGATACGTAGAAGATGAAAAAGTTGCTGTTTTAGAAATTTTTGAATTGTTATACCAGAAATGTTAGCGATCTTTTTAGCATGCTATTAGTATATATGTGCATAATAGATCGTAACTAATACTCTGAACGGTCAGTTTTTCGCTTAGGAATTTGACAGTGGTTTTTCGGCTCATGAATTATTTGGAAACCTTGGTGATCCCTACTATTAAATACTACTGTACTTAATAATATACCTGCACATACAACAATGGTAACTCCAAAATTGTCTTTTATACATGCAATAATCAATGGGCATAAAATATATATTGTATAAACAATCCTAGATATATAGTGAAAATCTAATCAATATATACAACACGAATAGTACTGCCTTATAAAACAGGTACTTGACAGCTTCATGTGCTGTTACTAATAACTACTGCAGGGTTTCATCAGGTTTTTCATATTTGTTACCATCACTTTCACCAAAGAAAATTTTTTCATCACTTTCAATTATTTTTGATCCATACATTATTAAGTAATTTTATATGACAACAATATTCAAGTAGAAATTTTATACACCAGAAAAGTTTGAAATTTCACATGCAAAATCTATATTATGTCCAAATAGTTATCAAACATTTCTTAAGAAAAAACTTTAT